GAATATGAAAAATACCTCAAAGTAAATTTGGCACTGGGATCAAATCAAATTGTCAAAAACCACAAAACACGAAAAAAGTAAGAGCGCGAGATCACGAAATTAAATCGAAAAAAGAGAGCACGAGAGAATAAATCTTATATCGACTGAGCGTGGCTTGTGCAACACAACAACTTTAATCAATAAACAAATGCAATGTAAAGCATGCAAGAGAGAGAGAGAGAGAGTTAGAGAAATAAACGAACAAGACTACCAGAAGTTCATAGAGAGTAAATTACAGTTATAAAATAGAGCGGGAGAGATTGAGAGGGAGTAAAAGAGTTCTAGCAAGTATAGAGAACGTAAATTACACTAACAAAGCTACGAGATTAAACAAATCTAATAGAAATGTTAAAACAATTTCTAAACACATACCCGTTTACTGGGAGATCTATTTAAAATTTCTAACGCAGATATGTATTAAGTTAAGCTTTGTAAATAAATTAACACAAAACACTCGCACAAAATCACTGAAAAAATACAAAAACTCAGAGCACAAAGGTAAACACAACTGTTCACAAGCGACGCTAAATCACAAGCGAACGGAGGAGAAAATAGAAAAGAAGAATGCACGGTCGAACAACGGTCGAAAGTTCCTGTCAAAAAGTCCTGTCAAAAGTCGCGGAAAATCGGCCAGCGAAGTTAATTGTCTATGAAAACCTTTGTATCACAGGTATCCGACTGCGACGTGAAATATAACACAGGAGGGCACCGACAGACCATCAATTCGGTGATGGTTTTTGGGAAGAACTGGATCGAGGCCCCTAACATTTTGATTACGAAAATAAGAGCTACTTTCGATGCCGTATGTGTTATGAACAGTACTGGCTTGATTTTTTTTGGGCATAAGCAAGCAGGACGTGATATTTTTCAAACCCCGATACGACAATTTTATTAGATTTTAAAAATATGTACACTTTATCTTTTCTTTATTTATTAATAAAAGCATGAACTAAAAAAAATACAAAATAAAAAATAAATGTATTTTTGCATGTACACGTATAAATAGTTTAAAATAATATAATATAATGGAAACCACAGCAAACAGTGTGAATATTGGAATTTTAAAAATGTTTTTTTTTTTTAACTTTCCTCAGTATTGGTTGATAGTCGTGTTTAGTTTGTGGTTATCGCTACACTATTATCACTCTGTAATATTTGTGGTTATACGTATAAATAAATTAAGGCCTATAGAATAGCTTTCTAGGACACATAATACAAAAAGTACTCGCGTCTAAAAAATCGAAGGGAGTTTATTTAAACACCACACACGACTACGATTCATCTGTTATTATCATTGCATTCGTTCTTTTCACTTCCCATCGTCCAATAGTGATCAAGGATGTCTTCGCTTGTAAACCGAACGTCCGGATCCGACTGCAACATATTGGTGATTAAATCGCGCACACCGTCGCCTATATCCGACCAGTATGGATCAGGAAACTCATAAATTCCAGATATAATCGAGTCAAAGAGAGGTTCTTGTTGGTTGTCAAGCGCCACAAACGGTGGGAAGCCGCACAGTAATATGTACAAAATGATACCAGCGGCCCAAACGTCGATCTTTGAGAACCGAAAAGGAAAAATTTAGTAAACTGAATCCAATTCATAACAGTTTATTTCCCACCTTTAACCCATATCCAACTTCTAATAAAATCTCTGGTGCCACATAAGTGGGCGTTCCACAGACAGCATATAGAGGTTCGGTTACCTCACAGACTAATCCAAAATCAGCTAGCTTTAGTTCAAGAACGTTTCCATGTTCGTCTAGTTCAACCTGTAAATGTAAATTGTTCCAATAATGATATGCAACATATATGATTCGTAATTACAAATGTCTTACTAAGAGGTTCTCCGGCTTAATGTCTCTGTGCACAATGCTCATGGAATGTAGGTACGACATGGCGGATCCCAAATGCCTAATCATAATTCGCGACTGACTTTCTGAGAACCGCGTCACCTGGGTAATTGCATCAAATAGATCGCCACCTGAAATTTGGGTGGCATCTGCTGCACCAAATTTCTCTCTATCAACATACCACTTACATACTCCAGTACCAGATACGTATTTGTATGTTGGCCCACATCCATTATAAGTGATATTATATGCGGATGATCCAGCTTTTGCATGACTCGAACTTCGGCGTCAATATAGTGCTCCTTGCCCTTGCACTTGCTTTTATCTATAATTTTCAGTGCATAGGGATCACCTGTTTGGCGGTCTTTGATCTTCAGCACAACGGCGAAGTTGAGAGATTTTCAACGTTCAGCCAGGCATTGCGAGTCACATGCTACATCATGCTGCATCAACACTGTCGGCAAGGGAGAGAGACGCCTTTGGCCCCTAGGTATTGAGGAGTTCGACTATTATCTGTCGTGCGGATCGTACAGCGTGAAGCGTTCACAACCGATTTGGCTGCTGTCAGGAACTTCAAATGGTTGCCCTCCCGAAGCAAGAAGTTGAATTTGTCGCCGATCTTAGCGGAAGGCATCTTGCGAGTGAGGGGACGACTTCGCCATTCTAGCTTGTCACCCGAACGTCGTCATCCAATAATCCTGCCAAGTTCTTATCATTTTACAGAATTAGTAATACGTCACTCACACTATCAAACGCTAGGTGCGCAGTTGACTGTGGCACACACGCGCTAACGATTTTGGAATCTGACATGAAAACAAGCAGTTCAAAGGGTTATACTTCCGTATGCGTTCGCCGCTTCAGGCCGCGATCAACTACTACATCTCAGCTTATGGGAGACTTGCCCGTTCATCTAATCAACCTTCCTAGTCGACTATTAATCGCAGCTGAAATCGACTACACAGGTGCTAGCTTTTACAAAGGTGTATCGCCCTTTTTATTTGTCTCGCAACAAAGGCGGTGCACTTGGAGGCGGTGACAGGTATCACCACCGAGCATTTTTTACTGGCTCTGGACAGGTTCACCGGACGACGTGGAATGATTCAGCACCTTTACAGTAACAACGGAACCAACTTTTTGGGTGCAGACAATGAGATGAGGACGGAGTACGAACAGCTTTAAGAGGACTACAAACTTGCGTCGCAGCGGACAACGTGTAACTTCAATCCCCCTTAGTCACCTAACTTCGGAGGACAAAGGCCAATGTAAAGTCGGTTAGACACGGTGCTCTTGAGCATAGAAGCGTGTCTTAACTCAAGGCCGCTTTGCCTTCTTACAGCTGACGCGCAAGATCTAGAAGTGCTCACCGCAGCGGACTTTCTTACTTTCGTCACAATGGTTACTAGGACGTATTTTGGAGTTACACTCAGGGACGGACGCACAGGATACCGAAAACCCACAACCGAGCTAGCTCATCACTACCACAGCCAGGAAGACCAAGACAAGCGACGATGTCTCATGCTGAGTCTAGCATTGGCGGGCATGTTCAGTTGCTGCTTGTCCCAATATTTGTATACGTCGCGATCAGCTGTTCGCTCGCTCATCTGGACTCGTAGGAGAGCGAGAGCACGATAACGGAGGAGAAAAGAGAAAAGAAGAATACACGGTCGAACAACGGTCGAAAGTTCCTGTCAATTATTCAGATTATACAATTGTGTATAATATATAAAAATATATCTGCACCTCAGCTGGATCACAGGCAATGGCAGCTGCTGCAACAGAAATGGCTGCTCTTGACCTGGGAAGAGCTTGAAGTACTGACAGAATGGTTGCAATGGTGCGACAGAGAGCATTAGTGATTGGATTAAGCATAACTTTGGATGAACGATCAGGTCATATCCGAAGTATGCTATAGTGATTGTACTGAGCATTAGCTTCAAGATTGCACAAGTACTCACAGCTGTTTCACCTACCACACCCTTCGATGGCGGGTGCTTACTCCGGATATAACCTGATCGTTCAAGGCGAGTTAATTGAGATTTTTCGAGTACATATGTGTACTGGATTATTTGCTTCTTAAGTACCTTAGTATCGTAGGAATTTGTTCTTCGCGATGATCCGTTGGCTTGTGATTGACAAGTGGTACGTCATCGCTGACCTCTAACGTTCGATGGTTATGATGTGAAAAGTGTTTAACTCAATCCATGTCGGAATTTTTTCTTTATTGTACACGAGGAAAGCGTGAGCTTAGAGTTTGGACGAGTACATATTTACCCGGATATTTCTAACGATCCTTTAACGTTAACCCTAAGTCTTGAAAATTACTGCACATTAAATAGAATCTTGTGTTCGCTGACAACAAGCAATTGCTTGTTTTCGAAACGCTCAGATATGTTATCCCAAACTGAGCGGAATTCATCGTGATTGGTGAATTAGAAATTATTACAATCGCGTCGTTATGCATTTTGTCTATAATATGAAACCACTGTTTGACTAGCGTTAGCTTTGCGTTATTTATATAAATTGCCGTGAAAAGTCGCGGAAAATCGGCCAGCGAAGTTAATTGTCTGTGAAAACCTTTGTATCACAGGTATCCGACTGCGACGTGAAATATAACACAGGAGGGCACCGACAGACCATCAATTCGGTGATGTTTTTTGGGAAGAACTGGATCGAGGCCCCTAACATTTTGATTACGAAAATAAGAGCTACTTTCGATGCGATGTGTTATGAACAGTACTGGCTTGATTTTTTTTGGGCATAAGCAAGCAGGACGTGATATTTTTCAAACCCCGATACGACAATTTTATTAGATTTTAAAAATATGTACACTTTATCTTTTCTTTATTTATTAATAAAAGCATGAACTAAAAAAAATACGAAATAAAAAATAAATGTATTTTTGCATGTACACGTATAAATAGTTTAAAATAATATAATATAATGGAAACCACCGCAAGCAGTGTGAATATTGGAATTTTAAAAATGTTTTTTTTTTAACTTTCGTCAGTATTGGTTGATAGTCGTGTTTAGTTTGTGGTTATCGCTACACTATTATCATTCTGTAATGTTTGTGGTTATACGTATAAATAAATTAAGGCCTATAGAATAGCTTTCTAGGACACATAATACAAAAAGTACTCGCGTCTAAAAAATCGAAGTGAGTTTATTTAAACACCACACACGACTACGATTCATCTGTTATTATCATTGCATTCGTTCTTTTCACTTCCCTTCGTCCAATAGTGATCAAGGATGTCTTCGCTTGTAAACCGAACGTCCGGATCCGACTGCAACATATTGGTGATTAAATCGCGCACACCGTCGCCTATATCCGACCAGTATGGATCAGGAAACTCATAAATTCCAGATATAATCGAGTCAAAGAGAGGTTCTTGTTGGTTGTCAAGCGCCACAAACGGTGGGAAGCCGCACAGTAATATGTACAAAATGATACCAGTGGCCCAAACGTCGATCTTTGAGAACCGAAAAGGAAAAATTTAGTAAACTGAATCCAATTCATAACAGTTTATTTCCCACCTTTAACCCATATCCAACTTCTAATAAAATCTCTGGTGCCACATAAGTGGGCGTTCCACAGACAGCATATAGAGGTTCGGTTACCTCACAGGCTAATCCAAAATCAGCTAGCTTTAGTTCAAGAACTTTTCCATGTTCGTCTAGTTCAACCTGTAAATGTAAATTGTTCCAATAATGATATGCAACATATATGATTATTCGTAATTACAAATGTCTTACTAAGAGGTTCTCCGGCTTAATGTCTCTGTGCACAATGCTCATGGAATGTAGGTACGACATGGCGGATCCCAAATGCCTAATCATAATTCGCGACTGACTTTCTGAGAACCGCGTCACCTGGGTAATTGCATCAAATAGATCGCCACCTGAAACAATTATGTTAACATAATTTGGGTGGCATCTGCGCAACCAAATTTCTCTCTATCAACATACCACTTACATACTCCAGTACCAGATACGTGATACCATTATAAGTGATATTATATGCGGATGATCCAGCTTTTGCATGACTCGAACTTCGGCGTCAATATAGTGCTCCTTGCCCTTGCACTTGCTTTTATCTATAATTTTCAGTGCATAGGGATCACCTGTTTGGCGGTCTTTGATCTTCAGCACAACGGCGAAGTTGAGAGATTTTCAACGTTCAGCCAGGCTTTGCGTGTCACATGCTACATCATGCTGCATCAACACTGTCGGCAAGGGAGAGAGACGCCTTTGGCCCCTAGGTATTGAGGAGTTCGACTATTATCTGTCGTGCGGATCGTACAGCGTGAAGCGTTCACAACCGATTTGGCTGCTGTCAGAAACTTCAAATGGTTGCCCTGCCGAAGCACGAAGTTGAATTTGTCGCCGATCTTAGCGGAAGGCATCTTGCGAGTGAGGGGACGACTTCGCCATTCTAGCTTGTCACCCGAACGTCGTCATCCAATAATCCTGCCAAGTTCTTATCATTTTACAGAATTAGTAATACGTCACTCACACTATCAAACGCTAGGTGCGCAGTTGACTGTGGCACACACGCGCTAACGATTTTGGAATCTGACATGAAAACAAGCAGTTCAAAGGGTTATACTTCCGTATGCGTTCGCCGCTTCAGGCCGCGATCAACTACTACATCTCAGCTTATGGGAGACTTGCCCGTTCATCTAATCAACCTTCCTAGTCGACTATTAATCGCAGCTGAAGTCGACTACACAGGTGCTAGCTTTTACAAAGGTGTATCGCCCTTTTATTTGTCTCGCAACAAAGGCGGTGCACTTGGAGGCGGTGACAGGTATCACCACCGAGCATTTTTTACTGGCTCTGGACAGGTTCACCGGACGACGTGGAATGATTCAGCACCTTTACAGTAACAACGGAACCAACTTTTTGGGTGCAGACAATGAGATGAGGACGGAGTACGAACAGCTTTAAGAGGACTACAAACTTGCGTCGCAGCGGACAACGTGTAACTTCAATCCCCCTTAGTCACCTAACTTCGGAGGACAAAGGCCAATGTAAAGTCTTTTAAACACTATCTAAGAGAGTCATTGCAGATCGACGGCTTTCTTACAAAGAGTTAGACACGGTGCTCTTGAGCATAGAAGCGTGTCTTAACTCAAGGCCGCTTTGCCTTCTTACAGCTGACGCGCAAGATCTAGAAGTGCTCAACGCAGTGGACTTTCTTACTTTCGTCACAATGGTTACTAGGACGTATTTTGGAGTTACACTCAGGGACGGACGCACAGGATACCGAAAACCCACAACCGAGCTAGCTCATCACTACCACAGCCAGGAAGACCAAGACAAGCGACGATGTCTCATGCTGAGTCTAGCATTGGCGGGCATGTTCAGTTGCTGCTTGTCCCAATATTTGTATACGTCGCGATCAGCTGTTCGCTCGCTCATCTGGACTCGTAGGAGAGCGAGAGCACGATAACGGAGGAGAAAAGAGAAAAGAAGAATACACGGTCGAACAACGGTCGAAAGTTCCTGTCAATTATTCAGATTATACAATTGTGTATAATATATAAAAATATATCTGCACCTCAGCTGGATCACAGGCAATGGCAGCTGCTGCAACAGAAATGGCTGCTCTTGACCTGGGAAGAGCTTGAAGTACTGACAGAATGGTTGCAATGGTGCGACAGAGAGCATTAGTGATTGGATTAAGCATAACTTTGGATGAACGATCAGGTCATATCCGAAGTATGCTATAGTGATTGTACTGAGCATTAGCTTCAAGATTGCACAAGTACTCACAGCTGTTTCACCTGCCACACCCTTCGATGGCGGGTGCTTACTCCGGATATAACCTGATCGTTCAAGGCGAGTTAATTGAGATTTTTCGAGTACATATGTGTACTGGATTATTTGCTTCTTAAGTACCTTAGTATCGTAGGAATTTGTTCTTCGCGATGATCCGTTGGCTTGTGATTGACAAGTGGTACGTCATCGCTGACCTCTAACGTTCGATGGTTATGATGTGAAAAGTGTTTAACTCAATCCATGTCGGAATTTTTTCTTTATTGTACACGAGGAAAGCGTGAGCTTAGAGTTTGGACGAGTACATATTTACCCGGACATTTCTAACGATCCTTTAACGTTAACCCTAAGTCTTGAAAATTACTGCACATTAAATAGAATCTTGTGTTCGCTGACAACAAGCAATTGCTTGTTTTCGAAACGCTCAGATATGTTATCCCAAACTGAGCGGAATTCATCGTGATTGGTGAATTAGAAATTATTACAATCGCGTCGTTATGCATTTTGTCTATAATATGAAACCACTGTTTGACTAGCGTTAGCTTTGCGTTATTTATATAAATTGCCATGAAAAGTCGCGGAAAATCGGCCAGCGAAGTTAATTGTCTGTGAAAACCTTTGTATCACAGGTATCCGACTGCGACGTGAAATATAACACAGGAGGGCACCGACAGACCATCAATTCGGTGATGGTTTTTGGGAAGAACTGGATCGAGGCCCCTAACATTTTGATTACGAAAATAAGAGCTACTTTCGATGCCGTATGTGTTATGAACAGTACTGGCTTGAATTTTTTTGGGCATAAGCAAGCAGGACGTGATATTTTTCAAACCCCGATACGACAATTTTATTAGATTTTAAAAATATGTACACTTTATCTTTTCTTTATTTATTAATAAAAGCATGAACTAAAAAAAATACGAAATAAAAAATAAATGTATTTTTGCATGTACACGTATAAATAGTTTAAAATAATATAATATAATGGAAACCACCGCAAACAGTGTGAATATTGGAATTTTAAAAATGTTTTTTTTTTTTAACTTTCGTCAGTATTGGTTGATAGTCGTGTTTAGTTTGTGGTTATTGCTACACTATTATCATTCTGTAATGTTTGTGGATATACGTATAAATAAATTAAGGCCTATAGAATAGCTTTCTAGGACACATAATACAAAAAGTACTCGCGTCTAAAAAATCGAAGTGAGTTTATTTAAACACCACACACGACTACGATTCATCTGTTATTATCATTGCATTCGTTCTTTTCACTTCCCATCGTCCAATAGTGATCAAGGATGTCTTCGCTTGTAAACCGAACGTCCGGATCCGACTGCAACATATTGGTGATTAAATCGCGCACACCGTCGCCTATATCCGACCAGTATGGATCAGGAAACTCATAAATTCCAGATATAATCGAGTCAAAGAGAGGTTCTTGTTGGTTGTCAAGCGCCACAAACGGTGGGAAGCCGCACAGTAATATGTACAAAATGATACCAGCGGCCCAAACGTCGATCTTTGAGAACCGAAAAGGAAAAATTTAGTAAACTAAATCCAATTCATAACAGTTTATTTCGCACCTTTAACCCATATCCAACTTCTAATAAAATCTCTGGTGCCACATAAGTGGGCGTTCCACAGACAGCATATAGAGGTTCGGTTACCTCACAGGCTAATCCAAAATCAGCTAGCTTTAGTTCAAGAACGTTTCCATGTTCGTCTAGTTCAACCTGTAAATGTAAATTGTTCCATTAATGATATGCAACATATATGATTATTCGTAATTACAAATGTCTTACTAAGAGGTTCTCCGGCTTAATGTCTCTGTGCACAATGCTCATGGAATGTAGGTACGACATGGCGGATCCCAAATGCCTAATCATAATTCGCGACTGACTTTCTGAGAACCGCGTCACCTGGGTAATTGCATCAAATAGATCGCCACCTGAAACAATTATGTTAACATAATTTGGTTGGCAGATGCTGCACAAAATTTCTTTCTATCAACATACCACTTACATACTCCAGTACCAGATACATATTTGTATGTTGGCCCACATCCATTATAAGTGATATTATATGCGGATGATCCAGCTTTTTCATGACTCGAACTTCGGCGTCAATATAGTGCTCCTTGCCCTTGCACTTGCTTTTATCTATAATTTTCAGTGCATAGGGATCACCTGTTTGGCGGTCTTTGATCTTAAGCACAACGGCGAAGTTGCCGTCGCCGATAATTTCTCCCAGTGTGTAATGGTCCCGAATATTGGCTGGCAAATCATCGACCTCTACGCCAGAGATCTTAAGTAAGGCCTGTTCATCGTCTTTAAGCGTGGGAGCCACTTTAAACGCCTCAGAATCCACCATCGGAATATAAACTTTTTTGCTCTTGACAGGCATCTTAGGCTTTGGTCCCACGCAGGTGGTCCCGACAGTCCGTAGGGTCTTGCGTATGATATTGATAGCACGTTGCTCATCCGCCTCAAGCTTAAAATCCTCCGCTGTGTTGATACGCTCTGTACCATATGCAAAGAAAACGTCATCCGGCCCAAAAAAATCAGCGAGTTGAACCACTGAAGTTCCTGAAAGGGTAAATACCTTTCTCACATAGCCTGTATCTAGGTGAACCACTTGCGTGATGGCGGTCAGGACGTGTTCAAAGCTTGGACTGTTGCGCTTGTTTAGTAACAAACGCATAATGCGTCGTGGTTTAGTTCCATTGCGTATTAGCGTTACGATACGTGGATGAACCACAGTGTCAAGCTCGCTGAAACGGGACGTGTTCAACGGACTCCCGTTGGTCACTCCTCCAACATAGACTGAAACTGGCCCATTGCTTGCGAGTGATCCATTTTTAAGGGGAGATGCTGGTCGATAAAATTTAGGCAACCGCTGATTGTTTGAGCGACTAGTGTTGGCCAGCGTCAGATTAGACAAAGGCTGGGAACTAGTGATATATTCCACCTTCTTAAAATTCTCGTTATTGCAGGAACAAACGTAGCTCTGACCGTCTTCCAACTCATCGAGGGCGGTAATCTGCAGAGGCAAAATCATAAAATTAGATGCCAGTAGTGATAACACCGAGGAGTACACACCTTCTTCCCACACATGCTATATATGGTGCGAACTGCCCCTGGTATCTTCACATTCTCCTCTAGCAACCGGGTAAGGTCTTCGTAAAGACTCTCGAAGGATCGATATCGTTCGTTGGAGACAGGAATTGTTATGCCCGGATAAAAGCGATCACCGTTGCGGTAGAATTTAATCCGATGCGCCTTGCGTGTCGGAGTTCGGCTGCTCGAGATGCGCTTCTTAATATGGGCGACGTTGCGTACAACACCCAAGCATGCCGTTGAAACAGAGCCAATAGTGGTGCTAGCTTCGATGGTGTTCGCTTCGAGCGTGGCCGAGGTGTTTGAGGAAGCACCACTTAGCGACCCGTTTGATTTTCCCATACTCCCGCTGCCTGTTAGAGAGCCAAGCAAGATCTTATCCTCATTCAACTCCTTATCGAACTCCGAGGCGGAACTCCCAATACTGTCGCAATCCCTATTGTGGCTATTGAAGTCCTCCTGCCGCTTTTGCTGTTGATTCAGCTCCTCGAAGAAAGTGGTCTCGGCGACGGCATCCTTAGCCACTCTCTTCTTTGGCGTAACGTTGGGAGAGGCTGTTGCAGAAACAGATGCTTGGAGGGAGCAGAGCACGGATGTGGTGCAATGCAGGCTATTCACCTCTACTGTCTGTACTTCCATACTAGAAGAAAATGGGTATGCTAGATTAGAAAATCTTTTTATGCAGGATTGTGGATATATTTGACTGAATTCCCTTATTTATTATTGTTTTACTATTAGTTTTTTTGCTTCTGTGTTATGTGTTTTTTTAATACTTTTTCTTTTACACAAGCTGTCAAACTACGAAGTTTAAAAGAGAATGTAATTCAATTAAATCTCGGCTTGCTGGACTAGAAGTCACGAGTCCAGTTGTTGAACAGAGGCCACACAACGCCGCTCTTAACAATTGCATAATAAACAAGAAAGGAAGCAAACTTCGGCAAGTCTAAGTTTATATACATTTAGATTTCTATGCCTATATTACTAAAAACAATGAAGCTATGTCGATTTTGCGGTGCATTTTGCAATTATTTCCATCGCAGCTATTTGATATTGTTGTCCGATTTTGACAAAACTAAAAGCTGTATAACATAGATATGCGATTTTATTTTTTTTAAACAGTAATTCCGAACTTAATTAAAATTAATTATATATATAATTTAAAATATACTGTTTTAAAATCTTTAAAATAACAATTTTATAAACAAATATCAAGAAATTTATTGAATATTCGTTGTAAATTATAATGATCAGAAAAATCTCCCGAGTCGATCTAGACACATCTGTATAAGTCTCGAAATTCAAAAATCGAACAATCACTTAGTCCATGTCCACAATACACCCTCTGCTATTAAACGCTGAAGCGGATAGAAAAAAGTAGCAACTCATGCGTCTACCCATATCACCAATGCAGATAATTCAGGTTCCATGGTCATGGGGTTCGTGGACTGAAGTAAAAACCCCACTATTTGCCAGAAATTACATGAAATCATCGTTTTTGAAAAACGGACTGGAAATTCCAAAAATAAATCTCGTTTTTATGCCGTAAATTATGTTTTTATAGTATTATAAACCTATACCTTGAGTTTGATCACAATCGATTTATTGCTGTTATATATCTGACCATACAGATGACGATTATTCGCGAAGAGTAAAAGCTATTAGCATACTAAGATTTTTTTTCAATGTGTACGCTGATCATGTTAGAAAAGCTTCCTATTTCCATTTGCCGCCAAAGAAAATATTGTAAAATTGATATATTTCAATGTAAAAAAATTAATACATATCTCACTGCAAATGTTTATTTATTATAAAAAAATCGGCAGGTGTAGAAATTTAATCAAAAATAATACTTTTTTTTCGATATCTTTAAAACTGAGTTCGCGTAGAAACAGAAAGACAGACGGACATGCTTATATCAACTCAGGTCGCGATCGTGATCAAGAATATATATACTTTATAGGGTCGGAGATGGCTCCTTCACTGCGTGACAAACATTTGACCAAAATAATAATACCCTCTGCAAGGGTATAAAAACAAACTTGCAAATAGCTGAACTTTTGCACTTAGAAATGAAACAAACGTTAAACTTGACTATATGAAAATAAAGGCTTATTGCATGGCATCTTTTGGAAATCAAAATCTTACGGCTAAGCAAAAACACTTTTCATTGACCTACTTACAAAATTGTATTATCTAATGCTGTCTATATAAAACGATTTCTTTATATCCGATAATGTGGGTGCAGATAGTAGCTTATCCAAAAATATTGTTGAGCTTGAATTACCCATACGTAATAGACTTCAGCATGAATGCATCCAAAACGACAAATAAATCACTTAGTCTAGAAGTAGGCACATTTTTTTTCTGCACAGTATATTTGGGTGTAAGTGAGTAGGGTAGTATTGTCTGTTTTGATTGACAGTGTTCTCACTAATTCCATAGTTGTACAGCTGTTGATAAGTACAGCAAAATTGGTGTGCAGTAGTCAACGCACTGTACAGTGTTTTGGTGTGTACTGTACAGTGAGTAAAATTTCATGACTGCAGTCGACTGGTACATACACACATACATATATAGATCTCGTGTGTATGTATGTCATAGAAAGAATACGGTTAAAAAATTTATTTGTATTTACGTTTCAAATGTATTTATTATAAAATAAAGAATTTAGAAATTATTAATATTTTAATTAAAACTAATTATAACAATTATTTTATATTATTAAAGAATCTATATTTAAGTTATTAATATTGGAATGAAGGAACATTATTTTATTTACCATGTCTTCAGTGACTGCACTCATCTGGACAGTTGTACACAGTCAACACACAAGCTGTACAGCGTGTTTAAAATCGGACAAATGCTGTACTCACTCACGAAGTCTACAACCATATCTGTACTCACTCGAAGTGAGTACACTGAAAATGTTGTTCAATCTTCTTCTGGCCTATAGAGTATAGTGTACAGTAAAGAATGAGTGCAGTATTTTTAAGAACACCATAGTACTGTACAGATCTGTTATGCTACAAATGAGTACATTCATGCAGAAGTCTAATACGTAACTTCAAACTGAAGGATAAGTTGAAAAGAATCATTGAATATATAATAAAACAAAGCGAAAATGCTCTTAATGATTTTCTTGTTGAACGAGTAACTACGTAGTCAGAAATTTTAAAATGGTGGCAGTTTAACTGGTGTAAACGCTTTTAAGCTTTAAACTGTAATCGAAATAGTAACCTTAACAGTAAACGAAACCGATTTTTGATTTGGTTTAAATTCCTGCTTTTAATCAAGAGTATAAAATACTTTTAAAAAGTAGTAAGCTTTTAGTCAAGCACCTCACACATTTATCGCTACCCGAAAAATCGGATAATATGGCTACCGTTTTTAAAGCTAAGAAAACTTCGAAAAAACTTAAGAATATCGTAAAACTTGTTCATGCGATGGGAGCAGCAGATTCTACACGTACAAGCGTACGTGTAGATTATTATAATGCCATGATTCGCCTCAAGGAGATGAGTCGCTCCTGTCCACTATCGTTTGGCACGGAAACAGTTATTCTATTTCATACTTTTGTATCTAGTGTTAGTTAGATGTTCAGCAAGCAAAAACGACCATTTGGCGACTAGGGACAATAAACATAGAAAATGACTCTTGTCACACGAACCAAATAAGCACCCAGCTGCGAGAAACCGAACTTGACGTCTTTTTAGACCGAAAAGTCAGAAAATATAAGTTTTCTGATTATATAAGTTTTCTGATCATAAGTTAATCGAAAGAATGTTTTACTTTCTGAAATAGCACAAAACTAATGAATAGAATATAATGAAATTTTAACAGATGTATTTTAAAGGTTAGTATTCAGGGGTTATATACCTTTTTTTGCCGAGAAAAATAGGAAAGTTTTGATTTTTTCATGTATGTAGCAATTTTTGGTATTCCATGAATGATTATATTTTCTGAAAGTTCAGTTTGTTGACAATATTTGTGCAAAACTTTGTAAAAAAAAAAAAGCATTGAATAGTTTTTTATGGGTGGCTGTTTTCTCTTAATCGCCTTTTTTTGGAAGAGCCTTGCGGTGATAATTCCTCATGACAAATTGGTCAACTGAAACCGTAAAAATAAAAAATTTTCTTGGTTTAGAGTAATCTGAACGATCGTTTTTATAATTTTTTTATGTCGCTAGAGTTTTTAATCGATCGTTCAAGTACACAGTTTCAGTCGTTTTTCGCCAATCCGTATCACCGCAAAGTCATTATTCAAAAAAACACTATTTCGAGATATTCGCGTTTAAAGTTTCAAGTTTTGGTTTGGGCGGGGACGAAGCGCGCGGCTAGGAGCGCTGTAACTTTCTTTCTACTGCTCGAATCTCTATGAAAATTTGAGGAAATGTTCTCAAGAAGTTGTTCTTCAAGATAAAGCAATAAATATATTTTCGATTTTTTGAAAATGAAAAAGGATATAACCCCTTAACTGAACTGAGCCCGGAACTTTTCAGTCCATGTATTACCACTAACCATACAACATATAGACTGGTCATTTCATACAACGAATTTGGTCACAAAATTTTTCACTCGGGGAGCCCCAGTGCTGGAATCGGCAGGCCCCGACACTTCGTGTGCCTTCGGGTTTTTTCGCTCTCGTTCTAATTCTTATTTTGACGCTCGCGCTCGAGTTCGGTCGTTCAGTCGCAGAGTCGCGCATTTTGAAGAAGGTTGGCCTGCGCTTGAATTGGGCTTTATATGTATGCGTGTTCATGCATTCTCATACAGGGGTGCATGTGTGCGATCATTTCATTTCGATGCAGTAAGAATATTTTGTCTTTTGCTACTTTTCAGACTTGGTACCCTAACAATATGGGCGTATTCACTATTGGGTTAATGATAACAAGAAAGGAAAGCTAACTTCGGGCGGAGCCGAAGTTGAAATACCCTTGCAGAATATTCTGCAAATTATATTCTCCAAAATTATTCATATGATGCATTTTTAATACTCATAAAAAATCCCACCTTCCTAACTTTAAAATCACCAAAGTTATTTCATTTCCGATCAATCAGTTATATGGCAGCTATAGGATATAGTCGGCCGATCCTTATGAAATTTAATATGTCGAATTGATTGGGCAAAAATAAAACCCATAGAAAATCCCAACTTCCTAACTTTACAAACACCAAAGTTATGGCATTTCCGATCAATCAGTTATATGGCAGCTATAAGATATAGTCGGCCGATCCTTATGAAATTTGGTAGGTCGGATTGATTGGCCAAATATAAAACCCATAGAAAATTCCAACTTTCTAACTTTACAAACACCAAAGTTATGGCATTTCCGATCAATCAGTTATTTGGCAGCTATAAGATATAGTCGGCCGATCCTTATGAAAATTGGTACGTCGGATTGATTGGCCAAATATAAAACCCATAGAAAATTCCAACTTTCTAACTTTACAAACACCAAAGTTATGGCATTTCCGATCAATCAGTTATTTGGCAGCTATAAGATATAGTCGGCCGATCCTTATGAAATTTGGTAGGTCGGATTGATTGGCCAAATATAAAACCCATAGAAAATTCCAACTTTCTAACTTCACAAACACCAAAGTTATGGCATTTCCGATCAATCAGTTATTTGGCAGCTAT